AAGCAACTCTGGGTCCAGCATCCACATTATAGAAGGCAGAGTCTAACATGCCTTTTGGGATGGCTATGTCTGGGTAGAATTTGCCCATGAACTCAAATACTTTGGCAGCCACGTTTCCTGATGCTGGCCCTGCCCATCGCTTCTACTCTGACTTGCACACCAATTCTCCACCGGAACACCTTTTTTCCTCCACGGTCGCCTATAAATTCTTCAAAAGGCCAGACCTCTATCTCGCTTCCTTCAAAAGGTTTCCCAGAGTCCCCCAGCTAGGATTAATTTATTTATACTCCAGAAGCTCTCTGTACCTCTGTCATAGTTTATCACAGCACAGAGGAAACGTGAACTTTGAAGTCACAAAGCATCCAGTTCAAAGTCCGGGTTTGCCACTCGCTGGCCATCTAAACGTGAGAAAGTCTTTATTTCTACAAGGGAAAGAATAAGATCTGTTCCCCGTTGCAACTGAATAAATTAAATGTCTACAGAAAAGGAAATATCATGGTTCATAGAAATGGCTGACTACTCTTGCTCTGTAGAACCAGCTAATGGAAATGTTGCCAAGCAGGTATAGACCTCCACAGCAGTCATGTTACCTCACCTGTTTGTGTGGGGATAGCAGCAAGGGAGGAGACAGGAAGGAAAGGGAGAATCAGAACAAGTTACAATGATATATGTGTTTAAAAAGATCACAATGAAGCCCATTCCTTTGTATGCTAACAATCAATAATAATATTAATAAACTATTTTTTTAAGAAACGCATCATATGGAACAGGGGTAAATTAAGACAGGGAAGGGAAAAACAGTTACTAATTTGACAGTCACTATGATTATCTGGTGTTCAGTTCCGGAAAGACCTTCTGAGGAGTCAACGTATGAACTGTATCTCAGAACCGCTCCTCCGAGATAAGAAAGAGGAGAAACAGTATCCTCTGGCTTCTAACCATATTAAGATGAGCCCAGACGCATGGCTATCCACAGCCTTCCATTTCCATTTTGTTCATGGGTGGTAAGAGGCTTCCTATTCGTGTCTCACACCCAATCATTAGAATTTCCAGTGCTGGGAGCAGCCATTAAGAGATGTGAGGGACGGGCCAGCAGCTTGGCTTTGTGTGAGGCCATTTGAAGCCTGTCCAGACCTGGTTGATGAAATAATGGCTAGGTGTGCTGGTGTACTGGATAGTTTCATGTCAAAGTGACGCAAGCTAGGGCCATCTGGGAAGAAGTGATCTTAATCCAGGGACTGCCTCAATGGGATTGGCCCATTGAGCAAAATGGGCAAGTTTGTAGTGAATCTTCTTGATTGATGACTGATGTGTAGAGACTTAGCTGATTATGGGTGACCCTCAGGTAGATAAGAAAACAAACTTAACAAGCCAGGAGGAGCGAGTCAGTAAGCAGCTCTCCTCCGAGGTCTCCACCTCAGCTCCTGCCTTCAGGTTCCTGTCCCATTTGAGTTGGTGCCTGACTGAGTTCCTGCCTGGCATTCCTCAGTGATGGACTATGACGTGGAACTGTAAGCTGGAATAAACCCTTTCCTCCACAAGCTGCTTTTGCTCACAGAGTTTTATCACAACAACAGAAACCCTTACTAAGATAGCCAGAGATCACGTAAAGTCACACACAGAAGATGCTTTAATCAATCCCACCACGTTTAACAGCTTTTTTATGGCTACAGCTGCTCTTATCATTGTTATCCAACTATTTATCCTTTTCTTCGCCATCCTAAGTTTCATTCATCTGTCCTTCTAGCGCTTTTTCGCGTTTCTCTGCTGCGTGTGTACCAGGTCTAACTGGCATGCTGTCATTAATTTAAGAGTTATATTTTGGAATGGTAGGAGAGGAGGGAGTGGGAACTGGAATTGGTATGAAAAATGAGAAAAGATAGTTTTTAAAATAAATTAATTAAAATTTGTAAATTAATAAAATAAAAAAATTATAGCCAGCCCCCCCCCCCAAAGGAGTTATATTTTGTAGAGTGTTAAGATTGTCAAAGTCCCAGCAGATTCTACAAAAGAGTGTTCCAGGAGCCCAGACATAAGAGGTTAAGTGTGTAGTGCTGTCCTTCCCATGGGAAAGTGAACTGCTTTGATTCTCCTTAGTGATGGGAGGCGAGTGTACTAGGCACGCCCAGTACAAAGGATGCCTTGTTCTTTTCTGGGGGGTGCTGTCTGAAACAGCAGATGTGACATATGCTGTCATTTAGCTCATTTCTCTCTCCTATCCAGTGTGGTCCACAGTTTTTAGTTTGCAGAGTCAACGTCAGCGATTGCTTCAAAACCTAGCGGCTATCAGCGCTCCTGCACACTGGGCACCCGCATGTGTGCTCGTGCACACCGAGGACAGAAGGCAGTGCTTGGTGTCAGCCTCGCTCTTTCCGTTTTGTCTTTTGGGACAAGGGCTCTCACTAAAACTGGAGTTCACCCAAGCAGGCTGTCAGGCAAGCTCAAGGGGCACACTTCGTCTCTGCCGCCTGGAGCTGGTATTACATATTCATGCCATCGTGCCTAGCTTTTCGGGCAGGTGCCAGAGCTGTGAATCAAGATTTTCATCTTGAAAATACACTTAACTGACTAGTGTTTCCTCAGCCTACTTCTGCGCTTGGAGAGTCTTCAACCATGTTGCCAACCTCTGTAGACCTTCCTGGGACACATTATTCCTTTTTCCTTTGACATATTTAAGTCACTGAGGAGGTTTTTTTATTATGATAAAATAACAGTTTATCATAGTTTATTGAATTTACCATAGTGACCCTTCCTCCACAGTCAGAAGAAGCTCTACCAACTATTAGCCACATTCTAACTAATAAACTAGAAAAATCACCAAAGGTGGGGGTCTAACAGACATACTGAACTCACTGTTGGGAGCTTGCACTAAAATTTCGTTTGTCACTTGGCTTCTTTGTGTCCTCTAAACAGAAGATAATGGGAGTATTTCAGGTTTCTTATCTCAGCATCGACACAAAGCCATGGACACTTTGTGGGCTCTTGAAAAGTCTGAGGATTTTCCTTTTGTCATTGCATATTTACCAGATAGTCTTAGATTTTTTGCAGGGCATGGGGGGAGAACAACAGGATCCTGGTATTTATTAAATATGCTTGCAGTGTATGTCCTTCCTTGAAGAGGCTCCTCTCTTGTTCAGTAAATGGGCCCCGAGCCTGTGAAGTAACTTGTTTGGAAACTGAATGGAGCCTGTCTTTCTGTGCAGTGAAAATCAGTGAGGGTTTCTGTTTACAAGTTGTTGACACTTCAAACAACCTTCTAGTTCACTTCCCGTCACCCTTCTGAACCCCATGATTGGTTAGGGTGACAGATACGCCACAGTCTCTCTTCTGGCTTTGTTACAACAATCACATTCCCTCTGGTCTGACAGTTAAGGCTTGCCATTTTAACCCCTGCCATCCCTGGAACCTCTTCTCTCCCATCATCAACCCCACAGCATCCTTTCCCATTGCCTCAGCTATGTAGGAGAGTTCTCACGGAGGCTCTCAGTTAGCAAGTGTTCTTCAGCACCATGTGGTGGTTAGTGTTGATTGTCGACGTGGCAGGACTTGGAATCACCTAGAAGGCAAGCCTCTGGGCACACCTGAGGGACTCTGCGCTTGCCGCTGGCATGCCTGTGATTGGGTTTGCCGAGGTGGAAAACCTCAGCCTGCAGGTGGCACTGTTCTCTGAGCTTGGGTCCTACATAAAAAAGGAGGAGGGTGCTAGCTGATCAGGGGTGCCCCTCATTTCTGTATTATGTGTATTTTAGTTAAAATCATTCAAACCGCAGACATCCTGACTATGGACGTCACCAGTTCTTCTTCACCATTATGTAAACTGTTGTGAGGCAGACTAAACCCTTCTCCCTTAAGTAGCTTTTTTGGGCATGTTTTATGATACCAACAGACAAAGCAACTAATGTACAATGCAGTCTTCAGTTTTAGTGAAAGAGGCGTCCTCTGTGTTTCTTAAAGGTACATTGTTGGATGTCATTTTCTCTAATCACACATGGTAAATTCATTGTGACTTTAAAAAAAAAACCCTCTTGACTATTCAGAGCCCATTCTCAGTACTGTGCCAAGGCAGTTTTGGCTACTCCACCACATCATGGTACATTAATACTAAACACATACCACACAGACACTTGTGAGGGTCTAGGAGCATTACCAAAACATTGAACTCTGCGTTGTGAAGCAGACCTCCCAAATCAATAAACTATGACCCATTGGCTTTCTGTCTACTTGTGTGTGTGTGGGGGGGGGGGGGGGGGGGCGTATCTCTACAAACATCACAGCCGGCAGAGTACTGACCTGCAAAAAGCAAGAAGGAAATCTGGTTCAAGACAACTCAGCAGTAGCTGTTGCTGGTTCAAGCTCCCAGAGTCTGACCCCGGCAAGTTTATTTTAGACATGTTTAAGTACAGTGCAGTTTAGAATAAAAGTTTCCTGGTAACAAGGATCTCAATCCCATGTGCACAATAAAGCTTAAAGAATGGAACATTTTCAAAGCACATGTGACCTCTCTCATAAAGACGAGCGCTACCGCTTGAGGGCCTAGGATCTGGTGTGGTCTTGGGTCACACAGATGTGGTAGAAGCCATCCAGCTACAAAAAGCATGGGACACCCCCTCTAAAGATGGGTTCTATTGACTGAGAAACAATGCTCAAGATAAAGGTTTAAGGAGGAAGAATCCAGAATAACCATAGTAGTTTGGGAGACTCAGGTGCTCCCTGGCCCTGCGGATAGCACAGGGCACCAGGCTATCAACTATATCCATTCAGAGACGACCCTGCCAGTTTGACATTCCTGGTTTCCCTAGAGTTTATTCGTGAGCCCAAGGACCTTGTGCCCTCTACTTCCCCTTTCCTCCGGCCACCATCTCTGATCCAATAAAACTCACTATTCTCACACATAGTACTTACTATGTTAGTCTCTGAAATGCATAGTACCAAATCCTGTGATGCCTTTGACCCTACATTGTTTTTTGTTTTGTTTTCATTTTGTTGTTATTGTTTTCTAGAACAAGACTATTTTCCTTTGGAGCTACGCTGAGATCTTAGCAAGGCTGTCTGTTTGGAGTCGATCTCATCTTGAAAATGGTAAGGAAAGCTTTAAGAAAGGCTGACGCCTGTTGCAGTCTGCCAGATGGCTCCAGAAGAGCTGTTGTCTGCAAAGTTAGGACTGAGTGTAAAGAAGACAACTTTTTTTTTTTTTTAAATTTCGAGACAGGGTTTCTCTGTGTAGCTTTGAAGCCTGTCCTGAAACTCACTCATTAGACCAAGCTGGCTTAGAACTCACAAAAATCTACCTGCCTCTGCCTCCCAAGCGCTGGGATTAAAGGCGTAAGCCACCACTGCCCAGCTAAGAAGACAACTTTTTAACAGAGAAAAATGAATATATGTAAGAAAACTTCCTAAATATTTCATAAAAGTGTATAAAACGGGAAGATTATCCATTGGATATCCCAGCATCTATGTTGGTCCTTCTTTATCCGCCCCTAAGAAAGCCTGGAGTCAGGACACAACTCAAGACAGTCCAGGAGAGCCTGAACAAACAGAGAGGCAGGATTCACTTTTTAGGTTTTTACTAAAGGTGAAAACAAACACTCCACTGAAATTAGAGTTAGGTGCTTTCTCCCAGATCATTCCCTGAAGCTCTCTCTTGAAATAGAGCCGTCACCTATGATAGCTCCCAGTCCTGAAGCAATGTTGGGAGCCTCTGTATGCAAATAGGTGAGCAGATGTGAAGAAAAAGAAGCAAATTTAGAACTCCATGTCCTTGGTGATTTATTGGATCTAAGTCTTTTTAATTTTAAATCTAGCTAAAGGAAGAAAGGCATAATGTATAGTTTAGTTAAAAAACATTCAAGACTGAGGAATTTGCTGAATTTGTCCCAAAACATTCTTTCCAGCAATTTAATTGTTCTGTAAGCGGTTTAAGAAAATCTATCCGGGTTCATTGTATGTTAGGATTGTTTATAGCATCCATGGAAAGGAACCTATCACTGCAATGCCATCGTGAACATTTGCCTGATGACAGGGAATTGAGCCCTCAGGAAGCGACTTTGGAATGATGGATTTCCTCAGATTGCTATGGATGGGGTGAAGACAGCTTTAAATTATGGAATTTCGAGCAGCATAAGGAGCCAAGGCGGTATTAGGTGGGTTTAGTAACCAAGAGAAAGGTCTGAATCTTAGTACTGTGGACTGAGGGGCAATCTTACCTATGAGAAAGGAAGGTGCCTATGAGCGAAGCAGGCTGATTGGAACTGTGTCATCTATAGTTAAAACAGGAGACAGTCACACCACGTTATCACTGACACAGATGGTGCAGAGTTTAGAGTAACAATTGGGACTTGCCAAGAAGCCTTACCTGCTCTTATAACAAACACACCTTGTATGTGTTTTCAGTGTGTGCATACACACAATTTGTTTGCCAGCTAATCTGTAAGTATCTTGGAGGGAAGTGACAAAGTCCTATTTCTTTTCTTTCTTTCTTTTTTTTTTAATTAACCACAGCATTGTTATTACTGAGTTATCCTTTTACACAACCGTCTTTTGAGTAAATGTCATAATTCAGAGGACTACCGATAAAGTTGTAGTCATCTCTCTCAAGCACTGACCCGAGAACTGAAGGGGCACTGTTAAGAGAAAAAGGAAAATGAAAAGACATTTTTCTGAAAATTAGGTGCAAGGAAACAGAAGTCAGATAAGTTAATTAAAGTGATTTGTGAAATATCCAATAAAACACGCTGTGGAGAAGAATGGGTGATAGAGTTTATAACAGGAGACCCTTGTGTTTTAGACTAACTGGGGAGGACTTCTCACAGAGACAAACTTATCGCTGGATCTTTAGTTCACAGGTGTGAGAGCCACAAAGCCTTGCAGTTACCACTCCTTCAAGGTGAAAGAGTTCTGGCTGACTCTGTTAGAGGAGACTCTGCCAGATTCCAGGCCTGGGCAGGTCAGAGCCAATCAAAGAGCTGGCATTTAGAGGAGCGAGGCTCTGTTTCTACAGGTGTGTGTGGTTGCCCGTGGTAGCTCCATTTCCACTTAATCTGTTGGTTGCTAGGATTTATGTGTGCGCTTTAGTGACGGTGTCAGACTGGGAAAGAGAAAGAACATGTTTGTTTTTTGACTCCTCTGTTTTTTTGTTTTTTTTTTTTTTTTTCTTCATTTCGTTCTGTGCTAAACTGTATCTGGCTTGATTCAAGATACGTTTCACAAACAACCATGGCACCTCAGGCAGCACACGGGCAGACAATCACTAGTAGTAGTATGCAAGAGATTTTGAACTCCCTTCTTGTGTGGACTATCAGAATCAGAAAGGCCCTATAAAATCTGATGATGTCTTCACGCGATGCTCTAACAGGGAAAGCTGAACCTGAGGGTTGGCAGCTCACGTTCAGTACGCAGTCTAGTTACCTTCCCCAAACTGGCTTAGACTTTCAGGAAATGAAATCAAATCGGTAGAAAGAACAGTCTGAAGACCTACAATCTGTTAGAAAAGGAACCAGTGTCCTTCTGAGGGCCACCACCATCTCTGTGATGTCACCGCAAAGCCCCGACTGCCTGACACATGAAGAAACTAGTTGCAGGGAGTCAGGACCAGGCTGCATTCTGGCACTAAGGGAGTTAAGGAGATTATTATGATGGAGGTGGAAGAGGACACAAAAATTAATTTGGAATTTTTCCACACCAACAGGGCATTTTCTGCCAAGATGGCCATGTGTGTCAACCTCAGGGATTCTCCCTTTCCCGGAGCCAAGAGGAAGTCTCTAAAAACTAGCCGAGGAAGGTGTTTTCTCCACACTGAGCGAGCTTTGGCGACATTCTGTGAATAACATCTGTCCCTCTCTGCATAAAACAAGGAAGTGCCCTGCGCGCTAACAAGAAAGCTTACAACAGTGAAATAAAGCTATGCAATTTTGTAAAACTTGATTAAAATATTATTTCAAACTGCTCCGAGAAGTATAGTCATGGAAAATGCGCCCTCTTTCCTTGGCGTCTCCTGCTCTCTATGGCTGGGCTGTTTTGGCATCCCTGCTGTGTTGAGAGTTCCCTGAATCCTTGCCAACATCAGTATTTTCCTTTTTCTCTTTGGACCTTTTCTCTCCCTTTGTAGGGCTCTTAATACGCTTGAGAAAAGCATGTTTAGCAGATAACCTTGCAGATCTCTGTGGCTTGCCTGCCCTTCGCTCTGGCTTTTCCGCCTTTAGCATCCCCTTCGGCCTTTCTTCTGCGCATGGCAGCAGAACTGGGGCGGGGAAGTGAGAGGGGACAGACAGGGGCACTCAAGTTTGGTCTTCACTTCTTTTTCCTCCTTATTCATTTCTTCTTTGCTCCAACTTTTCAGCCTGGAATCCAGTCTTAGCCAGTAAGAGCAGATCTCAGGAAAGAAGCACGTTGGCTTGCGCCTGTAATCCCAGTACTTGGGAGGCCAAGGCAGGAGGATCACTCTGAGTTGAGGCCAGGCTGAGATATGTAGCATTTCCAGGCGGGCTGGGTCTTCAGAATGGGACACTTTATCAAAAAGGGGGAAGCCCACGGATCTGAGACATATGCTAACTTTTGCCACTTTTTCTTTGTTGGTGCCCAAGTCTGGTCAGCTTTTGACTCTGCTTCATGACTGAGAACACAAACTCTGAGGTCACTGATTTCGTCAGGGTTCTTTAACGGAACAGAGCTGACAGAATAAGTAGATATTAGAAGGGTAGTTATTAGATTGGTTTACAGGATGCAGTCGGGGTGGCCCAGCAGCAGCTGTCTCACACTGGACACCCGAGAGTCCAGTAGCTGCTGGGTCTGGATGTCGCTGGAGTCCCGATCTGGCGCCGAAGGGCTGAGGACTCCTGGAGAGCTGCTGGTCTTCAGTATCTGTTGGAATTCCAAGGAAGTGGGTTCCAGTATCTGTGAAGAGATGCCTCGGCCCCAGGACGGATGGTCTTGCCAGTGGGAATGAGGGCAAGCAGGCTCACAAACAAGTTTCCTTCTGCCCTGTTCATTCATCTGGGCTGCTACTAGGTGTCGCCCACATTCAGGGTGGGTCCTCCTGCTTCAAATAATCTGATCAAGAACATCCCTCAGGAGTGTCCAGAAACGTGTGTTCTAGTTAATCACACACGCAGTCAAGTTGACAGCCAAGATTAGGTGGCACGATCACCTAATTCTAGGTTCCATTCCTACCTTCCCGAGTTATGACCTGTGTGTGATCTTTTTTTTTTTTAAATATTTATTTATTTAGTGATTATGTATACAATATTCTGTCTGCAGGCCAGAAGAGGGCACCAGACCTCATTACAGATGGTTGTGAGCCACCATGTGGTTGCTGGGATTTGAACTCAGGACCTTTGGAAGAACAGGCAATGCTCTTAACCACTGAGCCATCTCTCCAGCCCCCCCTGTGTGTGATCTTGGCTGAATTCCTTGATATCTCTCAGCTCCAGTTAGAAAGCTGAGGATGGTCACAGGACTTCAGGCTTTGGGGGAACTAGAGTGAGCTGGGCCCCTATAAATGGAAGCTCCGCTCATCATCCCCTTTCTGCCTTTCACACTGAGCGCATGACGAGAAAATCTCACGTGGATTTCACACTCGTCATCCCCTGCCACACGGGGTGGAGATCCTCAGGTTCTTCTCACGGCTGCTTCCCTGTCACACCATCCACTCTCATCCCCTGTCTGCCTGTGACGTCAGCAAGGATCAGCCACAACTGCCGTCCACGCGTGACTCCCGCAGGCTCTCGTCCTTGGCCTTACACCTCCTTCTTCTTTCTATAATTAGTGCCTAGCAGGGATGATAGAATATTTGGGGGGATTATTTTGTACTTTTGGAAGGAGTTTATACAATTCTTTGGGACTGTAGAGTTGTATGACTATGACACTGCCCGGCTCTATCTCTGGAAGGAAGACAGACAAAGATAAGAACCTACTTGGTGCTGATGCTGCTCTTTTTCCCCTGTGGTTTTGGGGGGCGTACATATGAGTGAAGTTTTCCCAGCCTAGAACGACATGTCTTTTGAGGTTCTTCCAGAGACTGGAAATGTAAGCTAACTGACAAAATAGCAATTTCTAATCTCACATGACTTGCAAGTTATGTTCCCAGGCTTTGTTGACAGACCTGAGATAGCTGCACAAGGCCGACGTCCCACGAATAAAGGGCACAACAGCCTCTATTTCTCTGTATTTTAATTTTTCCATGTGTGTGTGTGTGTGTGTGTGTGTGTGTGTGTGTGTGTGCTAGTTTCTTACTTGGCTTCTGGATCCGAAGATAAGGCTCTTGGCCAGATATGCTATTTTATTGGGACACTGAAGGCATTTGATTTTACTCATCTCTCCTGTTATTTTTAATTTGAGACAGAGTCTTACTACATAGCCCTGCTGGCATGGAGCTTGTCGTATAGACCAGGTTGACCTCAAACTCCTTGCCTCTGCCTGCCTCCCAAACGCTGGAGCCGCAGGAGTGTGCCGCCACGCCCAGTTTACTGAAGCCATTTTAACATATCTTTCTATCGAGATTTTGAAACTCTTTTTACATATGCATACAAATTATAGAGACACTACAGCGAATTCTTGCATCTCTTTTGCCTGGCTTCTGAAGATATGACAATTGCACCAGATGTACTTAGGTTTATTAAACCCAAGAAGCTGACCCTGACACAGGACTGTCAACTAAATCATGTATTATTTAAAATTTCCAGTTTTTCCCCTTGCATTTTTGTCTTGACTCCTGGACTCGGTGGAATACTGCATAGCATTTGGTCATAATGATGGCACTTTCTCCTCCAACCTGCAGCTGTTTCTCAGGCTCACTTGTCTTTTCATCAGCCTACCACTGCTGATGCTTCATAAAACAACCTCTCCGTTTCTGTTTATGGGATATAGTCTTGTGATTTAACTGAAGTTAAGGAATTTTCAGAATAGCACAGAAGGGAAAAAAAAAACCCTTTTCATCGTTGGGTGTCAGTGATTCATAATAACAATATGTAGCTATCAAATTATTGTTGGAAATGCATCTTTTTGTCGTCCCCCCCCCTGTGTGTGTGTGTGTGTGTGTGTGTGTGTGTGTGTGTGTGTGTAGCCTTCAAGCTCCACCTGCCTCTGACTCCCCAGCTCCAGGATTAAAGGTGTGTACCACCACACCCTTCTTGGAAAAGCCAATCTTGATCACTTGGTTAAAGCGCTGTCTGCTGGATTCCTCAACTGTGAAATGAATACATGTTCTTCTTTTTCATACTTTGTATTAGAAATGAGTTACTAAGGTTATTTAATATTCAAGGTCTGGGTTGTGTGTTTTAGATGTGAAAGTGTCATAGAAAAAGGCTTCACGTTGGCTACCTGGTCCCTAGGTGGTGGTGTCTTTAAAAGGTGATTGGATTATAAGGGTGGTAATTTCATTGGTGGGTTAATTCATAGATGAATGGACCGTAGAAGGAACGGCCTGGTCAGAGGAAGTGAGCCACAAGGACTAGACCTCCAAAGGTTATATTTTTGTCCCTGGACCCTTTCTCTTTAGCTACTTCTTTGCTTTCAATAAAGTGAGCAACTTTCCCACCATGCCCTTAGGCCATGATGTTTTTTGTTTCTTCCTTGGAGACAGAAAACCATGGACTGTAACCTTTAAAACTGTGAGCCCAAATAAATCTTGCTTCCCATGTTGTTGTTTGAAAGTATTCTTTCACAGTGACAAAAGGTGACAAACATGAACTGTTTTGCCTCCTGATGGGAGGGTATCAAAGAATGTGTGGACCTGGGTTAAAATCAGTGAACCTTTATAAAATTTTATTTATTTTTATTTTATTTGCATTGGTGTTTTTGCCATGGGTATCAGGTCCCCTGGAACTGGAGTTACAGACAGTTGTGAGCCACCATGTGGTTGCTGGGAATTGACATCTGGGAGAACAGACAATGCTCTTAACCTCTGCCCTATCTCTCCAGTCCTAACATTTATTCTTAAGCCTTGTTCTTTATAATAATTACCAATATGCTCAAATGCTGGTTTTCTATTGCCTTAGTTAATTCTGCATTTATCAACTGGTGCTTTTTAAGTTTCCTGTGACAAAGAAACTTCCTTTGTCTCTATTTATTTGTTCAATTGTTACATCATTACTTATGTATACATCCATAACAATATGGATTGGTGGATGTTTAGTTTATTCTTTATGTTTAATCCCATTTATGCTTGCTAATTTTGTTCCAGTCTTGGCTAATGAAGGCCCTTTTAGCTTCTGTATCTTCTAGCCAGCTCTCACCCCACCTGAGTTCATGCAGATAGATACCTTTGACTCGTTTCCAGCCCTACAAGGCTCCTTCTGCCTTCTTATTTGTTATAATTTATTTTCTCTGACAGTGAGAAGCCTGACTTCATGACTGACGGTTTTCCCTTGCCTGTTTGTTTATATGTTCCGTCCTGGAACATTTGTAAAGAGGTATGGATGTTTAATTTTGAGCTATATTTGTGTGTGAAACATGAGTAGAAAGCAAATATTTTCTACGGTTCTTTTTGTCTTTAATCTTACATTTGAAAAAAAAAAAACAAAACAATCCACCGAACACTGTTTTCCAAAATTGCTTGTCAGCTCTTCCCGCACCCCATGAAGTCTGTGCAGTTAAGATGAATCTGAAGCGTCTACGTTCCCTCCTGAGGGTTTCAACAGCCTGGTTTAGTTCTGAAGTTGGCCTACAGTTAACTTTCCTGCTGTAGTGCAACCGTCAGCACATCGTACCAAGGCCGCGGTCCTTCTCTTCACCACTGGCATCAAACAGAGCCATCCCATCTTCCTAACGTCCCTAGTCGCCGTGGTCACTGTCCTATTGCTGTGAAGGGACACCATAACCATGGCA